TGGCCAGGCCACCGCCGCTGGCCGAAATTGGTATGCCGCTGGCATTGACCATGCTCACAATTCCACCGGCACCATCGGCGCCATCGCCGTTGAGCGGTGACGGCGCCTCGTCCTTTGATTTGCGCTTCTCAGGCCGTGGCGGCAAAAATGCTGTCGGTGATGTGCTGGGTGTGGCACCACCTCCATTGCCACTGCTGCCACCACCACCACCACCGCCGCCACCATTGCCCGATGAGCTGCTACCGCTATTGGTCGCATTCCCAGTGGCGCTGCGCGTCGCTCCACGTCCTTTGGTGGCGCCATTGCGCAACTTCGAGTGCACCTGGGCATGTGAGAAGTAAATCTGCAATGTGAATCACACAGCAACCATTTAAAATACCGCATTTTCATTGGAGTAACATCGAGTAAGATGTCAGGATGTAAATGCCATCGCTTACCGAGCTTCTGGTTTCGGTAAAGTTGCTCAGATCGGGCGTTAGACCTGCGCTCCGTCCGCGCTTGCCACGTCCCTTTGGAGTTCGAGAATCTAATTCTTCAGTTGGTGAATCACAGAATCTGCAATCAATTTTTAAAAGGTTTTAGCATGAATTACTCAAGGCAATTTTACTCGTGATATGTTTATAAATAAATAAATAGTTCATTTGTCCACAGAGTTAACAATATCTTTAGTCACACCTAATCTTATTTTCATTTAATTAATCCAAATTAAGATATAATATCTGTATGATCTATAAGATGTTCAGTCAAATTAGATTACAGAAATCATTATTTAATAATTTGAGAATTAGTTTTTTTTTTTAAGCTATTGCATAAATGACAAAATGGCTTCCACAATTTAGAAACTTTCCAGAAGTTATAATCACTCTTAAAATAATATTTTCCTTTTTCCATCTTTTTTTGTTATATAAACCCAATCATTCGATTGAATATGAAGTGCTTTGTAATAAATAAATTTTGATTTCTGTTTCCCGGGCAACTAAACTTTGTCTATGAATAAGAAACTAATTCCGTAAAATTGATTTTTAGGAAGAAAAAGTAATATTAGAGAAAGCCAAGTTCAGTGCTTGAAATTTAAAATGAAAAATCGTTGGAAATCGTTGGGAATCGTTCTTCGAACTGCCTTTCAAACTGTTGCCAAAAAGCATAAACGAAATATAAGCAAAAACAAAAAAAAATTGGTTTTTGGATAAAGGCATCTTTATTTTTTGGGTAACAGTTTGAAGGTTTGATTGAGTAGGAACTATGGATGCAGCTACTCACCTTGGAGGAGCCCAATCGTGTCGGGTGCAGTCGAGCAGGGTGCCCACATAGGTTTTGCCGCGCCACGTCACATTCACGACGAGAACACCGCCCTCGGTCTCATGCCAAACGATGCCCTCGAGTGTGACCGAGGTGCCCGGCTCGCAGGGTCCCAAGCAGTCCGGCTCGGTAATTGTGCCGACAGAGGTGCCAATGCATATATCGACCATATCCTTGCCCCCACTGCTGTTCTCGCTGTGCTTGGCCCGTTTCGCTGGCGGTGATTTGCTGTCATCATCGCCGCTGCCGCCGGCTGCAGTGCTGCCCGCTGGCACCGAAATTGTGTGGTGCATGGTGGCTGAGATCATGCCGGGCGCCATCATTTTGGCCTGTGCCTTGCTCTCTGCACTGCTCAAGCCAGCAACACCAGCGCCACCGCCGGCAACAGTTGCTGCTGCTGCTGCAGCACCAGCACAGCTTTGGCTGCCTGCATAGCTGCTGCCGCTGTTGTTGTTACTGTTGCTGCTGGAGGAGGCCGCTGCTGCTGCCAGCTGTGCGGCAATGTGTGAGGAGATTTTAATGCTGGCTTCCTTGCCGGGCGGCCCATTTGGCGCATTGGCAGCACCAGCATTAATGCCACCACTGTTGTTGCCACTGCTGCCACCGTTGCCGCCGACGCCGCCGCTGCTGTTCGCTGCTGCTGACTGTGCGGCGGCGCTTGCCGTTGCTGCCGTTGTAGCAGCCAGCAGCGATGCTGCAGCAGAGACAACAGCAGCTGGTGAGCCAGCAGAGGGCGTAAATACGCCTGGTGGCACAGCGGATGCAGAGGAATTGTTGCTGCCACCGCCGCCGCCACTGCTGTTGCCACTGTTGCGCCGTATGCAGGCGTGATGCGAACAGGGCTGCAACGCTGCACTGCCAGCAATATCGCCATTGCATTGGCAATTGCTGCTGTTGCTGGTATTGTTATTGTTGTTGTTGTTACTGCTGCTGCTGTTGCTATTATTGCTGGCGTTCTTTTCGGGCGTGTCCTTCTCGCCCGCTGCCGAGGCGGCAGCTGACTTGTCCACACTGAGGCGATTGGAATGTGCGTTTTTATCCTTGGTTTTCTCGCGCCGATGGCCGCTGCTGCCGCGTTTGTTGCTCTGCGGCGTTGATTGTGCGTTGTTGTTGTTGCTGCTGCTGCTGCTGCCGTGCGCATTGTTGTTGCTACTGCTGTTGTTGTTGTTGCTATTGCTGCTGCTGCTGCTGCTGGAATTATTGAGATGCTTTTTACTGGAAGAATTGCTTGAGTTGTTACTGTTGCTGCTGCTGTTATTGCTGCTGCTACTGCTACTGTTGTTGCTGAGCGCATTGCTGCTGCTACTGCTGCCGCTGCTGCTGCTGGTGCTGCCACCATCGTCCTGCTGGTTGCTGTTGCCCAGCGCACCGTTCTGCTGCTGCTGTTGTTGTTGCTGCTGCTGCTGTTGTTGCTGTTGATCTGTGGCCTTAACTATTTCGTGTTTGGCCTCGGAACTTTTGGTGCCGGGCTTGGTGCGTTTGATCTTCATTTTAAGTCCTTTATCGAGCGTGGCCTGATGATCAATGGACATTTTTGCGCTCGATTTACCGCTGCCGCTTTGCGTACTCTGGCCACCTATTGTGGCGCCACCAAGCGTATTGTTGTTGCTAGTGTTACTGTTGCTATTATTGCTGCTGCTGCTGCTGCTGTTGTTGTTGTTGTTGCTGCTAGTGTTGCTGCTGCCGCCGCCGCCGCTGGCGCTGGTGCTGTTGTTGTTGCTCGTGTTGCTGCCTGATTGCGAGGACATGCCGCCAGCGTTGTTTAATTTAGCTTGCGGCTGAGGCTGACCAGTGCCGCTTGTGGAAGACTGGCTGCTGCTGGTGTTGCTGCCGCTGCTGCTACTGTTCTGTGATGTGGTTGACGATGAGGATGTCGATGAGGAAACCAAATTGCCACCTTTACTGAAGCCGGCAAATGTCGAGGAGGACAATGTGCTGCCGGCGTTGTTAACTGCGCTGCTGCTGCTGTTCTTATTCAGCTGTTGGTTGTTGTTGTTGTTGTTGTGATTGATTGGACTATTCAATTGTGCAACTAATGCAGACTTGTAGCCCTTCGAGCTTGTACTATGATGCGAATGATGATGATGATGGTGATGATGATGATGTTTCGATGAAGATTTGCTGCTGCTGCTGCTACCGCTGCTGCTACTGCTACTGCTGCTGTTGCTGCTGCTGCTGCTATTGTTATTGGAAGCAGTTGTTCCGGCTACTGCTCCTGGTGCTGTTGGCGCTCCTGGGACACTGCCGGTGCCGCTGGCAATGGGCTGGCGTGTGAACTTAATTGTGGTTGGCGATGTGGCCGACAAATTGCTATGCAATGTGGTTTTGTGCGTTTTATGTGATGTTGTTGCTGCTGCTGTTGCTTGTTTAGCATTTAGTGTTGCTGCTGCTGCTGTTGTTGTTGTTGCTGCTGCTGTTGTCGCCGCTGTCGTTGTCGCCGCTGTCGTTTGGTTGCCACCACCCGAATGCGCCGCCGACTTTTCAATATCAGCGTCTAGATCGTCCAGCAACTCTGGTATGCCGCCAATATTCCACTCGTCCTCGTACTCAAAATTCGTATCCTTTGATTCACTCGAATTCGATGATGAACTGCTGCTGCTGCTGCTTGACGATGCCGATGCCGCCGCCGCCGCTGCTGCTGCTGTTGAAGTTGTTGTTGTTGTATTTGCGGCGTTTGTCTTGCTACCGCCAATCAATTCTGCATGCCAAACACAGATAACGACGAAAGAGAGAGAAAGAAAAATTAGAAATGCGTTTAGAATTTGAGTTCTGCTTTGAGCTGACATGCTGATTACTCAATAAAAGAGCCTAATTAAAAGCTCGTAAATTAATCACTAGCCGAGTGTAAAGCAGAAAGGCGAGCAGCACTTTTGGCTTAGCTGTTTGTGTTATCAAGATGACTGCCGGCTCAAGTCGGAGTTTTGAGAGAGCGCCGCCAATGCAATTTGACAAACGAAATGAAAAGCAGCAATTTTTTTTCTCAGTTTTTAGCGCGTGCAATTTGCAATTTGACTTCCAGTTGCATTTTGCCCTAGGCATGTGCATATCTACATACATATATATATATATATATGTATTCATATATATATGTGTGTCCATGTGTGTGTGTGTAATTGTGTGCTCTACTTACTCGTATGCTTCTTAATCGCACTGTTGCCTTGCAAATTATTCGTTGCTGTTGTTGCCTTCACTTTGTTATTGAAATTCAATGCTTGGTTTGTGGCTGCCGTTGTCGTTGTTGTTGCTGCTGCTGTTGTTGCAATTGCTGTTGTTGTTGCTGTTGTTGTAGCCGCTGCTGTTCCTGCTGCCGATACCGATGCTGCTACTGTTGTTGCGTTTGCCGCACTTAAATTAGCTAACAATTTACTCTTAATATTGCTTTCCGTTGCTACGTTGCTGCTATTCAGGGCCACCTGCAACACACCAAAAAGAAAAGACACCAAAGAACAATTTTAGTTATGCAGCTGTGCGTGTGACAAAGAAGAGTTCTAAATCATAAAATTACACATACAATAAAAGAAACGAACGAAAAAACATACAAAGAGTAGTGGGAAGGGGAAACACAAAGTTGAAGTTTGAAATGCGCCTTGCTTTTTTCGGTGGTTACCTTTTCAAGCGATTTTTCCATTCCATAACAAGCGACCAAATTATTCGATAATTCGATGTGAGTAGTGCAAGCGATTCGTTGTACATTTGTAAATTTTTAACAAAATCAAAATAATAATAATAATAATAAAGAAGAAAAACGCCGAAAATGTTTTGCGCGAGCGTTCTTCGGCGTCCTTTTTCGTTTGGCAGCGCGGCGACGCAGATGAGACTGAACAGAAAAAAAAAAAAAAAAAAACAGCTCAAAGAGCAACCACCGAAAACGGCACGCACGCAATACACACAAATGTAATACATGTACACCAAAACACGCACACATACACGCATTGAGCGGGAGAGGAAGCAAGAGATTCAGAGAGAGCGAGAGCCGGAGAGACCGAAATGAGAGAGCGCGTATAAACAAAAACGCCACTTTAATAATAGAGAGTGTTGGTAAACGACAAACTAATATTGTAGTTTTCAGACCGTTGCTGCTGTTGTTGTTGTTGCTGTTGTTGTTGTTACTGTGATTGTTGCTATTTGATTTACGCTTCACTCAATAATAATATATTAAGTTAGATAGCTTTAAGTAACTGCGATTACATACATTTTTCGTTTTAACCCCATAAATCAAATATCACACATACTTAAGCCAACCATAAAGCAACAACAACAAAACGCAACTTGAACAAATACAAATAGTATGTTGTAATTTTTTTTATTTTTTTTTTGTTTGTTTATTATTTTTTGCTTTACCGTTATCATTATCATATTTTGTGCTTTATCTGCGCACTGTAAAAGTCTAGTGGCCACTTGAGAACTCGCCCACTTGATGAGGAGGGCCCCCTCACCCTAACCAGATGACAATAAAAATAATTACGGCTCTTATCGCTTTTTTTTCGGAAGGGGGGGGGGGGGGTAGGTGTATATATATATAATATAGATATATACGTAAATAGTGCATACCTTATTCGGGTGGTGGCTAGTGTTCGCCTCGTTACGTCTCATTGACTCCATGCAGACGCAAACGATCGGGCGGCCGCTTTGTGCGGGCCCAAAGTACTACCAATATTGCCTAGGAACGTACTTTTCAATGTGTTGTTGCTGCAGCCAGCAGTTATGTGGCTGATCTTCTGCTTGTTTATATTTGTATTACTGTTATTATTGTTATTGTTACTGTAGTTGCTGTTGTTGTTGTTCTTGTTGTTGTTGAAAGCTTGCTGCTGGTGGCGTTGCCGCACTGATGAATTTTCCAGGCAACGACGTGACTGGGTGGAGACGCAGGGCCTCGGCCCTCGGGCCAAACTGTTCATTTTCAAAACTGCAATGAGAGAGAAAGAGAGAGGTAGAGTATGAGTATATGTGTGAGTAAAAGAGTAATACGTGTGTACAATCAATAAGCCATCAACGTTGAAAGCCTATAAATAAAACATGCAAAGTAATAACAACAACAGAAGACCAAAAAAAATATTATTTATATATATATATATATACATAAATAAAAAAATTTGTTGCTTTTCAAGTGTGGCTGCCTTTCCAGTTTCGTGATTAGCGACTTTGCCAGCCCTCTTATCGCTTGCACTCCCACCCCTCCTCTATCAATCGCACTGAGACTGGAAGAGGAGAGTGTTGAGTAGGAGAGGAAAAAGTCTCACGTTCAATGCAGCTGTGATTTGCTGCGCGGGCTGGCTGCACTTGGCAGACAACTTAACGACCTGGGCAATTAAAACACTTTTCGCAATTGACTGATAAGCCAGCCAACTCGAGTGCTTGAAATATGATTTTGGGATAACGTATACAAGCATACAAGCATACATACATACACACATATGTACATATGAACAAATGTACATACGGTAGCGATTCAGTGATAAGATAATTGCGATAACAGACCTAAATAACCAAAACCGCAATTAGAATCGCCCCAGTCAAAACTATTTGTCATATAAAAAATATCTCGTCTTACACTCACACACACGCACACACACACACACACACACACACACACACGCTCTTAGTAACACTATGACTTACTAAGCAGTTGAGCAACTGATGAGTGAATTAAGCATAAGGAATTTAGTTATTATAGCAAACAAAGAGCGAGCTTTTTGCTTTTTGCTTTTTGCTCTAACTATTTGGAGTGACTCTGACTGTCTGATATTGCTATTGGCTGGCTGGCTGGCAGGCTGTGACGTCATTGGTGACTGACGGCAGATGTCGGCGCTCGTAATTAAGTCGTTGTGTGTTGTCGACTTGTCACTTAAAACTGCTCACTCCGTTACTGTTAGTGGGTGCTTATTAAGACGTACTTAAACCACTATGTATGTGTATGTGTGTGTGTGCACGTGTGTGTATGTGTGTATGTGTGTGTGTGTGTGTGTGTGCACATTTGTATGAACAAGTTGTGTGAGCAGATAATCGCTTTTTAGTTCCCTCTTTGCTCGTCCACGTAAGCCGCTTTGTCAGACACTAAAATCAGCCACTGCACGTGCATCTGTGTGTGTGTGTGTGTGTGTATCTGTGTCTGTGTGTGTGAGTGTGTGTGTATCTGTGTCTGTGTGTGTGTTGAAAAGCTCGTTGTGCTTTATGGCTATGGCTATGGCTATACTATCTATGACAGTTTCACAAATTGGGTCGCAACTTCCAACACTTTATGATCGTCATAACTCCTACGCAGTCTTTTGGCGGTTCCATTGACTGGCATATATGAGGCGGTTGGAAAGTCTCGGGGATTATTGTGTTTTAAAGCCCGCCACAAGCTATTCAATTTGCATGCGGTTAGCATTTTTTTACGATAATTATTAAATAGCGTATGTATATACACACACACACACACACACACAAAAGTCTACATTTAATATAATATGTACGCATATATTTGACGTTTATTTCATTTTTATTGTGGGTTGCTATTTTATTTGCCATTTGCCGTTTGTTTTGTGTGTGTGTGTGTGTGTGTGTGTGTGTTTGGGCTGTAATTGTGCCATTTAATATGGATATTTTATTAATTGAGTTGTTGGTTTTTATTGCCATTATTAAATGCGAAGCGAGCCCACTCGGATATGCCATGAATAGCATTACTCAGTTTGGTGTGGTATTTGATAAAGAAAATATTTCATTTTGCTCGATGTTCACTCACGTTTCCCATCACACTCCGAGCAGTCCATTAAAAATGTTGCAACACTCGAGAGAATCGGATATGGGAATAAAATCATTTTGGTTTTCTATTTTTTTCATGAAGATTTCAATATTTATTATTATGTTAATAAATACTTCCCTCGTCGTCGGCAAGAGTATACAAAATTCGACGTGTTAAGTTGTGTTATTATTTATAAATATAAATCGGTTTTTGATTTCGAATTTGAGATAATTTCACAAATTCTTGTATAGTTCCCATGGGGCAAGATGGCAACGGCTCTGATTAACGCCACGTGCATGTGGGTGGGCCATGCGGCATGTGGCGGCGTCAATGTGCCAATGTGCGGCAAGTCGTGTTGCAAGACATAATAAACAAAACAAACAAGCAAGCCGATTCGATTGAAACACTCCATAATTTAGACAAATCAATAAATTACTAATAGCCGCCGTTGAACACAATCCCCATCCCCATCCCCAGCAACAACAACAACAACAACCACAACCACATCGAATTCGGCTGTGGAGCGGCAAAGTGGCAAGAAAAACAACGACAACAAAGAGCAGAGGCGCAAAGGAAAAATAAGCTGCCGGGGCTCTTTCAGCTCTTTGCAGATACACAAAAGACAGCGACGGTCAGCGTTCGACGAAGTCGTGTTTTAAATTGGAACTCAAAAAAAAAACTAAAAGCTAAATAAAAAAAATAAAAAATAAATATAAAAAAAAGTTGAAAATAAGATTATATGTGTATGTATAAATATATTTCCCTGCTGCATTTTTATGGCTGCTCGTTGGCTGCTGAGTAGGAAGAAGGATGGCAGCGAGGGTAGGCACGGCCGAGGGCAGGGGAAGCGAGCATGGAACATGCAGCATTCGAGTCTTGTTATAGCTGTGCCGCACTGTGCCCCAAAGCCTGTCCGCACGTACTAAACATCAAGCAGAGCAGAGCAGAGCTAGCAGGCATGGGGAATGGACGAACTGGGGGGAAATGGCGAGGTTCAGGGGCGCAACTAAGTTCAAGATTTACGACCACATCGTCATCTTTTGTGGTTGGAGCAGAGATCGATCCGTTGTTGCCGCTGCCGTTGCTGCTGCCGCTAAATGAACGCCTCTGGGGAGTCGCCAGTTGCGCTTTTATTAGCAAACTAACCGCAAAGAGCAAGAAGCAACAACAACAAACTTCAAACTCCTTGCAACTTCAAGTTGCGGCATCAATTGAGTACCCGACCCGTCCGTCTGGCCACCACTTGTATTGTTTTTTGATTCGGTGCGATGTGCGATAAATTTGATTTTAGCTCACAAATATATGTATATGTATATACATATGTTGCATACTTGTTGTGGTGGGTGTCTGGTTGCGTTGGTGGCTCAATCGCCTGTGGTTCGTCGTCGCTGTCGCTGGCTTCAATTAAATTAAGTGCAGTCGCCTGTGGAATGAATATGGATGCCATCACCACCATTACCACCATTACCACCATTGCGCGCAGGCAGCAACCACAGCGCCAGAATGTGATGAACGAATGAACGCACTCGAGTGCCGATCATGCCACTTAAGTGGCGGGCACAAAGGGGTGCACCGCCGCAGCCGCATAGCACCAATTCAATTGGTTTTTCAATATCGATCACTGAATGGTTCAAACTGAAGTGGCTGGCTCTGCTCTTTGCGGCACTTTCAAGTGCCCGCTGCTTTGTGTAACGCTGCCTCGAACAATCGCTATTATACCACGTAATTGTTGAAAAACAAAGGGAGTATCGTGTTGCACATGCATCTCAAAATTCAAGAAATATTTAAACAATGATATCAAATGGTTAGTCAACTCTTTAAGACTACAACGCAGACTGATCAACGTAATTAAACATTTCAGACTATATATTAAATAAGGATATTTTACTAACAGTGTTGAGAAATTAAAAGAATGATTCTTTTATGCATGTAAATCAAATGATCTGGGTTTGTTTTTTAATAAATCGACATGCCTTAAATGCAATCAAATTAACACTGACACGCTAAAACCACATTTTTCGTGAAAATCAGTACTAAAGCAAGTCAACATTTTGATTATTGTTATATGAGTTAATCTCTGTTGTTTTTGCTGTTTCTAAAAATACAGCTAATTAAATATGGTAAATTTTTTGACCAAACACAGGCACAGCGGTCGGGAATGGGTTAAGCAATCAATTCCACTAATCTGAACAACAAACTAAATATGTAAAATATGCTGTTAAACACGACATTCAATTATTTTTATAGACTGTTTTCCAGGGCAGAGCAGTCCTCAGTTTTTTTGGAGCACTCTCCCTCTCTCTCACTGCACTGATAGTGCAAAGATTGATGACAATATTCTTTGCATGTGAATAAATGGACAACAAAGTTGCATGTTATATGTGTTAGAGATTGAAAAACATTTCAGATATTAAAACATTGACATGATTTTATTGGACAATTGTTAACAACATTTACCGCCAACAACAGACAAAAATCGACTCAGTTTTTGAATGTATAAATTTTGCTATAAAATGCACATACAATCTGCAATCGGTGATTAAATTAAATCGAAATGTTTTCGCGTTTGCTACTATCCTCCATTACGCTGCTGCTGTTCAATGGCTGCTCTGGAGCGGTAAGCAGAGGAATCGCAGAATAAGGGACTAAAATAATTAATACCATCCTGATCCCGATTTCAGCGTAATTGGGATTATGAACCTCTCTCCATTGAAACCTACAGCTCAGACGATTCGAAAGCGAAATTTGAGGCATGGGTTGAGCGCGATGGACGGAATCATGTGTTTTCGGCTGAACTTACAATCAGTTACGAAATGGACGAGAGAACAATGGTGGGTCACCCCAAGCCGATGACTATTTTCATGTAAGCGTGGATTGCAAACCCATCCCTTCCATCTTTCAGATACAGGGGACGCTCTATAGCAGCTATTCGGGCTACGAGGATGACTATAAGCCACTGCCCTGGAGTATAGAAAATCAGACATTTCAACAATTTGTTATCGATTTTTACACCAACGTGAGCTACGCGAATTTGAAGCCCTGCTCGAATCTTCCAGAGCCCGCAAACGCATACCCATTTCCCATGGGAACCTACACTTTCACCAAGTGTGAGGTCAGTGGCGAAGGCTTACCCGAAATAATGGCAGAGGGTTACTATAAGATTGTTCTCTCAAGTACCGGACAGGTCGACGTTGGTTTTACTGGTATTGCGAGGGTGACGACGAAATCTGACTGGAGGTATTACTAATTCTAATCATTTCTATCAATATCATGAATTGTATAAAATGATTAAATTTCAAGATTTCAAATGGATCGAAAACCACATTTTGAATGTTTATTTTACTTGAATATATTGGATATACTGTTGAAGATGGGAGATACATGTAATATTTATCTAGAGCTAAAGAAAAGTCTACGCGACAAACTGAAATTGGGTTCAGCGTTTGAAGTAACTTTTCCATGAATAAATAATAAGTAAAGTTAGTAAAATTAAAAGCAGTCTGGCTCAAATCTTGTTGAATACTATATAAATGACAAGCCAAACTACATTATAGTATATCATACATGCAAATACAATACAATTGTTTAATATTTGCTGAGCATATACAAACTTTCGATAATTAAAGCTGAATCATAACTCGAAAAGTGGTTAAAAATTAATTCAAGTTTATCGAATTTATTCTTAATATTTGTGGGTTACTTAAGAATTGGGAGAATAGAGAAAATTTATTTACAGATCTTCAATTTTATACATTGTTTTATTAAACTTTTTATTATTTTATTATTATGTTTTTATTTACCATTTATAATTATGACCTAATTGTCATCAGATTAATGTAAAACAACGATAGATCGAGTAAGTAACCAATAAAGTTAAAATATTTTTAACAATGTTTTCACTGACATGCAAATTGTTGGCAATTAAATATTGAAAATGAGCTTGTAAACATGGCTATAATTGCAACAAATTTACAGATTTACAACATTAAATAGAGACTACTCTTCTAATCAGATGCAATGCGCGTAGCTTTATAAAGACAAGTACAATTAAATTGAGTTTAGAATCATTAGGTAACTTAAACCCAACCAAAATGAATGCACTTTTGCTGAGATCGACGACTATGACAGGATTGTTGCTCTTTCTATTTGTTGCCTGTAGCGCCGAGGTACGTAAAGTGTGTCGAGGACACTTGGTTAAAATAACCCTGTTATTTATTATAGCGCTATTGGGACTATGAGCCTCTGTCCATAACCACAAGCACAACAGATCCAACGAAATTGCGCATTGACGCAAAAACGGAACGATTGGGACGTGATGAATATGCTTTAACCATAAATTTTGACTTAAACTATGACATAGATGATACGACCATGGTTTGTATAGCATATTTCTGGCTTTATAAACGTATGCATTAAAAACAAGCAACAATTTAGATGGAGGCGATAGCCTTGCGGAGCCCAACGGGCAGTGAAGATGACTATAGGCCGATGCCCTGGAGCATGGAGAAACAGCCCTTCAATCAGGGTCTTAAGAACTATTACGCTGACATATTATATAAAAACTTCGGCCCCTGCTCGAACCTGCCGCTTCCCGAAAACGTTTACCCCGTTCCCAAGGATAAGTACAGGTTGGAGAAGTGTGTGATCTCTGGCGAAGGGATGCCCGAAGTGGCGCCTAATGGTTACTATAAAGTTATTTACAATGTTACCGGTGAAGTCGACTGGGCTTTGGTATGCATTGTGAAAGTATTCCAAAAAAATGATTTTATGGGTTAAAAAAAAATTTTTGTGTTTGCAAATGGAATATTAATTTTTAACAGAAATTTTAACAGTAAGGTCAAATTGTTTACAATAATTTGCGTTTAATTGTTTATGTACTTCTCTGAATAGCTTATTCAGCTATAATAAAAAAAAAAAAGTTTCAATATTCTATAAAATTAACAGTTCTTCGGCATATTATTATGACAATGAACAATTAGAAATCAAATAGTAAATATTTTGAATGTAAAAAGTTTATGAATATATATAAATAATATAATAAATGTTGCTGCTATCTTCACATACATTATATTAGGTATCTGTGGGATCAGATAGCTGCCTTAAATCGAATCGATATTTTATATAGCAAGTTTTAAGTCGACTAAATGAAGAATGAACAAAGAACACAACTATATTACTACGCAATAAGGCAGCTGTTTAATAGTTTCACCATTTCCAGGAACTGTCGTCTTTTCGTGTTTAGTTTACTGTCTTTGCCAAGTAATGGAAAAATTTATAATCATATTTATTTCTGGATTACAATAATTGGCCTGTAATTGCCGCCTATAACTAAATTGGATGCTAATTGCATGTCTTGTGTAATAGATATTGAAAAGCATTTCAGATATTAAGTGCTGATGTGATTTTATTAATAACTTGTTAACAATATAAACTGCCAGCTAGGCAGGAATCTACACCAATTTGGATTGTATAATCTGCTATATAAGGCACATACAATCTGACCACGGTTAATTAAAATAAATGGAAATGTTTTACTGCTTGCTGATAGCTATAACGCTGCTGCTATGCAATTGCTGTGCTGCGGTAAGCTGTGAAATATATATCAATTTTGAAAATATATAAAATATCAATAAAATATCGGAATTCAGTTGCGAGCCCAAATAAATTTAATATAATGTTGCACGTTAGACTGAATAAATTCTTTGAGAAACATTGCAATTATCCGGAACAACTGCGGAGGCAGTTGTTAACAACATGCAGTAAAGATAGGTCTTTGACAAATTGGAATTGAGCTAAGCCAATTTGGGAGAAATTACCAAAAGTAATGCATTCTAATGAATAGTTAATTAAAATTACATTTCTGACTCTGCCATATGCAATATATTCGTACAATAAATTTGTAATACAAATAAAATCGTTACTGATTTTATTCCAAGTTTAACGTGAAATGTTTCCATGGAGAGTGAAACGAAAGTGGTTTAAGAATTGAGGGCTGGTTTTACAGTTGAATAAATATAAAATCTATAAATATAAATCTATATTTCCGGGTTCATAATTCGCACACATTGCAATTTAAACAGCGACAAGCTCTATAATTTCGTGTGTGGCAAGTTGTATGTTTTAGTAAGTAACCAATAATGTTGAGATTAGAGTAGTCAATTACCTCATGAAATACATGCCATGTACACAAAGAGAGATGATCTTGTGAACACATCTATAATTGCCACAAAGGTACAGATTTACACAGTACAGACCCAATCAGATGCAATGACCATCGCTATATAAAGCACAATTCAATCGAACAGAGAGTCAGTGGACAACTTTAATTCAATTCAACTTTAAAATGAATTCACTTTCGCTGCTGGCATCCTTAAAAGGATTGCTGCTTCTATGTTCTGCCTGCAGCGCGTTGGTATGTAAACTGTGGGAAGGACACTAGGTAAGAATTACCCTATTCTTCATTGCAGCGTCAATGGGACTACGAGCCACTGTCCGTAACCCCGTACACATCAGATGAATCAAAGCTGTTCATGGAGGCAAAAACGGAACGTATGGGACGCGATGGATACGCTGTATCAGTAAAACTGGGAATTCACTATGACTTTGATGACACGACAATGGTTTGTATAGTATATCGCTGGCCTTATAAACAAATGCATTTAACTAAAAAAAATGTTAGGTAGAGGCAATGGGCTATCGGAGCTCATCGGGCAGTGAGGACGACTACACACCACTTCCCTGGAAAATAAATAGTCAAAACTATCGGACCTTTTTTGATGACTATTACGCTGATATGCTTTATAAAAACTTAAACCACTGCTCTGATCTGCCGCATCCCGACAACATTGATCCCTTTCCCAACGGTGATTACGAGCTGGATAAGTGTGTAGTCAATGGCGATGGCTTTCCTGAAATACTTCCTGAGGGTTACTTTAAAGTAGTCTTCAATGTTAGCGGTGAGGTCGATTGGGGCTTTGTGATCATTGTTAGAGTATTCAAAAAAACTGATTTAATAGGTTGAACGCATTAGAGGCACAGAAGACACATTTGTATCTGATATATTTCATTGTATTACTTAAAATCAAATATGTTAACAGAATTAATATTTAACCGAATATATACACCATATATAAAATTATATAAAATACACAGGCATAAAATGATTTTCATGTATTTTCTTAGTTTTTTTTTTTCACTCTTTCCAGATACTTGCGTATAAGAATTTTATATAATAATATGGGCGAATCAAAAAAATACTCGACTGATGATTGAAAATTACTCATTTATTAATTTTACGTCTTTTAATATTTCATGGAACGCATTGGAGGTAAATAAAGTATTTATATTATTGACCAGCATCAATAACTGAGTTCATTTAGTCATGTTTGTTTTGTTTATAAGCAGAACAGCTCTCAAGTTGATCTTGATAAGACTTTTCATGTAGTGGACTTTCTGCACAAATTATACAATTATATGTGTTACTATATTCTACACATTTAGCTATAAAAAAAAGTAGACATCATCTGACCTGTATATGTTTCTGCTCCTATAGAAACAACCGATATAAAAATTGTGTCATCGAAATGTTCATAGTCATATTTATCACCACTTCTGATACAATAAAACTACACAAATGTGGTATATTTAAATTACAGCTAGTCGTGAACCAATAAACAGATAAGATAATCGTTCTTATATTTTTATAACTATTTCCAATATTCAAATCATCTCTAACAAAGTATAATTTTATATAATTTTAGCTTCCACTCTGACTTGCACCATCCAAATGGTTTTACTTGGAGTCTCCCTCTGGAAATATACACATTTGTATACCATCAATGGGTGTTCTCTTGTACTCAGTATTTTTCAACTAGATTTGACAGATTATATAATAAATGGGCTTATTCGTTGCATTGCAACATAGTTGCATATGAAATAGCATGCTGCTAATTAGAAATGCGGATTGTTGTCTAGTCTGTTAAATATGGAATACATTTTAAACCATTTATGTAATCGAATGCATGAATGAAAAATTAAAAATGAATTAAATCTGATAAATGCCATGTCAGTTTTAACAACGCTAATTGCAGCAGTGCAACTCTCAGCTATTTGCCAAATATATTATAAGCCAAACTGGTCGCAGGGACGAGTTAAAAGATAACTTTTGAAAATGTATTTTCGCTTGTTTGTCAGTGGCAGTTGTTCATTTCAGTCAACATGCCAAATAAATTAGGACTGTTACCGATATTTTCATGTGCACGATAATTAAATTCAAGTAAATATTTGATGTATTCCCGAAACAATACTAATTAATATAAATTACAGGGAATAGCTATATAATTAGCCATATTAATATTTAAATGGAAAAAAGGCAATATTTATATTTCACTTGAAAGTTAACAGCTAGCAGTTGAAACATTTATTTGTAGGTTTACAAATTTCTAGTTTCTTACATCGGCATATCCAATATAAATTCGGGGAATTTGTGGTCTGCTTTAAAAGGGTTTAACGTACTAAATTGCTAGTGGACCAAATAAATAGTTTGTGGGCGTTTCGAGCTGCCTGCCTGCTGTGCACAACTGTAACACATTCCAGGTGAGTTTTCTGAAACCCCCGTCCGGATTCGTGTCGTGAAAGGGCCTGCCCAAATGTGGCAGCCAGGTAAAAATTAACTTGCAGCAGCTGTTGCTTGTTGCAGTTGCACTAGTTGTTTGCAAACAGCAACTCAACTTTAGATCTAGTGTGACAAAAAAAAATAAAAAAAAATAGTTTTAACACTCAAATAGGTGGTGGGGCACATTTGAGACTAGCTGGGGCAAGGAAACAGGCTAACAGTAAAGCAAAATGCATATGTATATACGGGACTACAAGAAGAAATGCCTGACAAAATGTCGCCGTGCAAATGCAATTCGAGTCGCATTTCAAGTGAAAACTCGGCGCAGTTGCTGGCTAATTTATTGCAAATTGTTTAAGCGATGACGACGACCGAGTTGCTGCTGCTGTTGCTACTACTACGTTGGAATTATTGCAAGTTGTTGTTGTTGTTGTTGTTGTTGTTGTTACTGTTGCTGTTGGGGCTCGCTGTGGCTGTCAGTCGATGACAGGCGGCACACTGGCCGTATCCACAGGCGCGATGTTGCCGCTGTTATTCATAGATGAATGCATGGAAAATGCCGTTTTAAAGATTGGCCCGACTTTTAGGGTGAACCAAAGGCTTGCGGAATTCCAATTAGTTAGTTTCAAGTCAGGCAAGCATTTGTGGGTCGCCAGTTAAAACAATGCCAAATAGTTTATTAGCTAGGACTAATACTGAGACAAAGTTCACTACTAGGCACTTTCTACTAAACCAAATTGAGTTGTAATAGAAAGTAGCGACGAAATTCTTAACAATTTTGTATTCCTAACTCAATTTTACTACACTTTGCTCTTTTATATTTGGTATTTCATAGTTCATTGAATTTATTTGAATTTGGTAAGTTTGTTACAAGTTTTTCATATTGTCGTCCAATATTTTTTGTCGATTCCTTAAGCAAGGAAACAATAAAGATTAATAAAGCTTTCATAATTATTTAGATGCAAAACTGAATTGGCGGATTAACTAAAATGAAATCGCAATTCAAGAAATTTACTTTGCTTATTTGATCGGTGCAAACTCTTTGCAAACCATGTCCAGCCTAATTTGCATGCACGCATGTAGCAGTTGCAGTTGCATTCGTTCGTGCCACAAACACAGAGCAGTTCATTGGCAAAGTCAGCAGCAAACACGAACATTTTAACGGGCTGACAATATCAGATTGTTATCTGGCATAAAATAATTACAGCGCATTAATGCAGACAAAATTGTTGCCGATGGCAAAAGTTTTTTCAGTCTGCCAATTTGAGTGGCAATAAAAGCGCGTGTGCGCAACGCCAGCAACTGTGCAACAGCAACAGCAACAGCAACGGCAACACAACGGCAACATTCGTCTAGTGGCTGGCCAAACTGCGCTAATTAACCAAAAACGCAGCCAATTAGTTTGGCTAACACCGCAACAGCGCAAAGCGGTTTAAATCCAGGCGAAATGCAAACGTGTTGGCATGTGTCAAATATAAAAGAAAACCTGTTTTACGCATGCAAGTCGGAAAAGCTGACAGAATCTCTGACTTGGCTAGTTAGTGTCGATAATTGTGGCAGTTCCCGACAAGAACTGATAATTGATATATATATGGTGTATAATTGGTCAAAGATAATAATTGAAATATCCGAAAATACTGTCATTGCCAAGCTTATGCTCACTATAATAATTATGTTTAAATATAATAGTTAAAATAGCCAAAAATACTGTCAATGCTAATATAATGATAAAAGATTTAGGCTACTTATTTGTGATGAGGCGTTAAAAAATAATTAGGAGTATTTTTAAACTCTACATTTAAACAATCATCTCGATTTTAAATTGTTGTTATAAACTCCATCAATGATTGTTTTATGTTGTGGCATAATGTGGCATGTTATCTACTAAATAATGACAACTCGTTGGGTAACTACTGTTCAGCATTTTAATTACGCTTAATAAATCAAATTTATCACTGATTGCTTGCTGATATGGAAACAGACAAAATTTATGATTTAATTGATGAAAATATAAATTAATTAAACACGAAAATGAAATATAAAAAAAAAAAAACAGATTTTAAATGTAAATCATATAGCATATTCAAATCCCAAGTACTTGTAATGAATATCACAATATAAATCATTAAATTCAATGCATACACATACACATACATGTATGTGAACATGCAACAACAAACATAAATATTGACTGCATGCATGCTATGTGCCCCGAGTTGGACAGCAGTGCACAGTTGGCAACACTGGTCGGGGTCTGGTCAGCATTTGTAAATGAAATCAATTTTAAAGCAGAGGAGAGCTTTGCATATCAGACAAGAACGATGCGGCTATAATAAACAACCGAGCAACAGTGCGAAAGGATGTGTTGAGGGCAATTGGGGGGGAAAGAGAGGTGGCGGCCAGTTGGTCGACTGCAAAGCTTGTTAAAATTCATGTAATGCATTAACTGAGAACAACAACCACAAATTACACAGTCAGCCTGGCGGGCCATCAGTCTGTACGAGAACCCAGAGCCAGAGTCAGTGCCAGAGCCAGAGCCAGAGCCAGAACCGGAGCCGGAGCCGGGGCCAGGTCAGGGTTTTGGCCAAAACCAATGTCCAAACGACCAAACGGCCGACGGCCGACGGCCTGCAATGAAAAGGCAATTAAAGCGCAGCAGGCACAGACTCGAAACTCAAACTCAGACTGAAAACCAAAACTCGGAGATGGAAGCCAGGCGCTGGGCTCACTAGTTGTTATTGTTATTCTTGCTGCTGCTGCTGCTGCTGCTGTTGTTGTTGTCGTTGTTGTTGTTGCAGCAATCAATTGCATGCTTCAATGGACAAATATACGAGCATAGAGCGACAGAGACAGAGTATGAGAGGGAGAGAGAGTGGCACAGCACAGATAGACATGGCTGATATGAACGTAAACGCAAACGCAAACGCTTCGTCGTTGTCCATGTCGGACAGTGTTGTTGAACAGACAGACAGACAGACAGACAGACAGACAGACTAGCTGGCTAGATGGACTCAACTAGATAAAGGCCTCGCCAACCATCAACGGCACCAAAAATAGGAGAAAACAAAAAATATATTTAAAAAAAAAAAAAGGGGAAAAAGAAAAAAGATCACCATGCGCCGCATTTGGCATGCTTGGCTGAGAAGCTGGGCAAAGAGTCATGCTCTCTGGTCTCTCCAGTCTAGTGTGGCATGGCCCGGTCTATTGGATTGCGTCTCCGTTTGCGTCTTCATTCGCTATTGCTGTTACAAGTCAAGTGGAACGGCAAAAACTTGTTAACTTTTAGCTGCAAAAGGTTCGACTAGAGTGGCCCAGACCAGAACCGATTCCGGGCCACGTTGAGTCAATCAAGCCTCAGTCGTTGCTATCGTTGCTGTTGCCGCTGTTGCTGTTGCCGCTGTTGCTGTTGTTACTGTCGGGGCGTCAATTAATCAAGTGCGGACGCACTCGTCGTCGCAGAAGGCATAATCATTGCAATCAAGTCATTTACCTGCAGTGCTGCACTTACATATAAGCGGGATAGAGACAGAGAGTTTGACAAATCGC